GGGGCAGATTCTGCTCCTACTTGATCTTGTCCACGCTCATTACCCAAAGACACAAGCTGCGTCCAGGCTGGTCCGCCCGGTGTTTGGTGTCAGTGTGAGTTTTGATCATACTGTGTTTCTTTGGTGAGTTGTTAGGGACTGAGTCGAGCTGATGACTGACTCTCTGATTAGCACTGGAGGCCAGCCAAGACCCCGGTCGTGGTGTGTAGAGAGGCTCTAATGCTGAAGGGGGCTGTGAGAAAGGTGGGGGCTGGCAGAGAAAGAGAACACTTGTGCATATAGATGCTGTACAAGTTAAACAAACACAGGGCGCAGCATGTGTGCAGGAGAGAGATAAAGTAATGTAATGTAATAAAGACAGTGATGAGCAAAACGGTGAAAGCAAGCAAGAGACAAACGTAAAATTGAGAAAAGACTGAGTAAGTTGTGTGTAAGAGTCACGCTTACCTGTACAGTAGACTCTCTCTTTCTCGGTCAGGCGCCCTCCCTCATCAGACCATGACCAGTGAGGGCGACTCAGTCACTGTGGTGCCCTTGAGAGCGCGCCCTCAGCCAGCCTCCTCATGATAATGAGGCAGGCCCCACGGACACCACTCGCTGCATGCAACCCCTGCCCGCCCTCACGACTGCCTCTGCGGGAGATAAGGATGCCAGTTCCGAGGAGAAAGAGAGGAGGCTAACAGCCTGGGTTTGGGTTCTCTGCTCGGGTTAAATGCGGGGAGCTTGATGGTGAAAGGTTGAATCCGGGGCTACGTCTTGTGACTGGCAATTTCAGTCTGTAATTAAAGCAAAAATAGTGCATCAAAATTGCATACATTTACATTTTCCTTATTCTTTTTTTTTTGTTTCTCTCCTTTTGTGAGAGCTGTTTTCCTTGACTGAAAACACAGCCAGTTGAGGCCGATAAGACTCCCGGAGAGAGTAGTATTTTGAGTTTATTCTTCTATCATTGCAAATTGAGCTCACACACATTATTTTTAAGTTCTCCACAACACAAAATGTTCCAACAGTGTTTTTAACACAAGTTCGAACATGTGCCACTAACATTGCATCTTGTTAACCAAAGCATTGCCCCAGATACATTCAGCTATCTGCTCACCTTCCCATAACTGTCATTCCACATCACACTACTTCTCCTGTGTTCTGTGATGCTGATTATATTCTCATGCTGAACAGTGTGATTGAATATAACCTTGACTCTCTCTAGCTTACCACCGCGAGGGGTCGGGTCTGATATAGACGCTGCTATATCTTCTCTCATCCCCTGTCTTTTCACTTTTCTTTTCTGCACAGGAGAATGCCATTTCATACTACGATTCCAAAGCGGATTCAGACTATGTGAGTACAGTACGGACTGCTCCCCCCCGTCCCCCGTCTGCCTGCCTCAAACCCCAAATCCTACCCACTCCACTACCCGCCCCTGCCACCCTTTCCTGCAACCCCACCCTGTCTCTACCCTGGCCTCCTCGGTGTTGATGCCCCCTCCCCCCCGCTCACAGGCCCCTAGGATGTCTGTGTGTGTTAGTGAGGGGACACTGCTTCATGGTGAGTTGGTGTGACAGAGCAGGGGCAGGCCGACGTGCATGTGACAGTGGCTTCAGCTGTCCTCCCCCAGTCTTTATTTCCAGAGTTTTCTCCCTCCCCATGGACTCTAAATGTGTCGACTACGGAGCGGAACTGCGGGTTTGTTAGACCTCTGCTCCAAAACACGGGTCATATCGCACTTTCATACACGAGGACGCCATTTCAATCATGCTAAAGAATATGAATGACATTGATGAAACAACCTGCAGGCTGGGTACCGCAGTTTCCTCCAGAAAAGCCCTGCAAGTCACTATTGTTTGGTCTCACCACACCACCACACCGGCTGCAGTTCCTCCGTAGGATAGGTCACGCTCGGAGCCCGTGCCCGTTGATTGATTAAGTTTCGAAGACGAGTGCAAGAATACCCCCTAGATCACCAAAGCACAAAAGATGGGAAGACAGTGCGATAGAGAGCGGAAGAGAGTGAGGCGGAGGAGCAATAAATCACGGTGTGAGTTTCTCTTCGTGCACGCCACTCCTGTGAGTAATGACACAGCGCTTTAGGGCCTGTCAGCACATCTAATTGGAGAACATCAGTCATCATTAATATGGCACACTGAGGTCGAGCCAGTGACACACCCCTGACCTGCACTTCACCAACCCCACAACCACCCAACAGACAGTGGCGGAGGTCAGTCAGAGGTCATTCCTCATCCCTGCAACCCCGACAGTCGCCCACCAGTACTCCCATATCTGAATCTTGATTCCACCCACTATGACCCCTTTCAATTAAGGCCTTACGACTGGAGAGAGAAAAAATGTACCATGTATGTACTACTGTTCTGCACTATCCGCGAGATATGATAAGAATCCATGTTTGAAGAAGGTAAGTGATTCTCGGTCTCTCTTATTCAAGGCTTGTCTCCTCTGTTCCCTATCCTGTACTCTATACCCTGTAATTTATCCTCTTGTCACTGTACCCTTGATATAAAAGTGCAATGTGATTTTTAAAACTGTCCATGTGCCAAAGCATGTTTGAAGCGCATTGAATTTATTCACCTACCTACCTACCAGCCACCTATGGGTTCTTTGTATTAATTACACATTCAGATTCTATTCTCCTGTAATGGCTTCATTTCTGCACTGTCATCTGTTGTCTGCAAGTTGCACAGTATTAGGACTTTTAAGTCTTATTAGCCGTCGGTTAAAACTACAGACAAGATCAGCCCCCACATGCAGAGTAAAAACGCAAATATTCTTTGGACTGCATGATTCCACTTCCACCGCAATACTCGTATTCGTCTGGGAGAAAAATATTGTCAATCATGTTCATTGGTAGTAATTTACTTCTAAGACACCCAACAAGTATATAAATTATTACAGGTCTGATTATTCTAATGTTTACTCCAAATTGAAAATTTATATTTTTGCTGTTTTTAAGTGGCTTATATGTGTGTGTGTGTGTGTGTGTTAGAGCAGCTATTTACTACTTGTAATGTTATTTTCCTTGTTTGTTTAAAAGGCTGTTGTTCCTCTATCTCACTCATGCCGACAGTCTTTCAAATAAACCCACACACACTTACAGGGTCTTAAGTGACATGTTTGAGGTTACCCCTGGTTGGCTGGAGGCGGGAATGAAAGAATCTTCAAACTGTCATCTCTGGCCTCTTCAGCCTTTAATTAAACCTTGAGAACGTGGGAGATAAAATTAACAAATTGGGTAATGAATCGAGCAAAACAGGTGGTGGATAGTTGAGGAAAATGAACCAATCAGTCCTTCCTGTGTGGATTTATTCAGCTCCTAATTAGACACTGCCTTGGTTAATTATGATTGGGCTCTTCTGAAGGAAGAAAAAAAAAAAAGCCTCCCTGCCCGACATTGACAGAATTAGTGTCAGACTGAGTGATAAACAAACACCTCAACCTCACAGTTAGTGCTGTTGAAAAGCCAGCATTCTTTATATATCTTTAAAATTACTCTCAGAGTTGTATGATTTTCATTGTGAAGCAAAAAGGCAGATGTGACCTGGAAACAGTCACCATTTTTTATATTTATCTCTTGCATAGAAAGCTGCATCGCTGTTTAGTTCTGCCTCAGCCCTTCCCTCTTTTCTCCAACTTGTACGAAATAAAACAGCCGTGTTGGATTGGAACAACAGGAAGAGATTATTTTTACCACTGCGGTGAAATAACGCTGTTTAGCAGCCTCAGATCAGGTCCCAAAGGTGTAGACTACAAACAACAGGCAAACAGCCTTTTGTCAACAGGATACTAGACTAAAACTAAAATCATGTCTAACTTGCGTTATATACTGTTCTGGTCTCATGACCTTCCAGATGAGCTGTGGTGATTAGAAGGAGCATTTTGAGGGAAAATGAAACAACTCCAACTTGTTATACCAAAAATATAGAAAAGCGTTAAAGCTGTATCACTTCACAAGTATTGCAAATGTTCACATGCATTTAAATTTCTACCATTGTTATTCATGACATTTTAAGTAAAATGCTCTCTGATTTCATGTTAAGAAAAATCTAAACTGTTTTTACTAAATGTTTAATTTGATGAAGCCAATGTTCAATCAACTAGTTGATAAATGGTATTGAAGTAATCATTTATCAGTTGTCTGCCGAGTGTGTCGGCACACATTTGTCAGTCCTAACATATTTCTCTGTGGTCATATCTCTCATGAGCTGCTCTCTGTCATAACAATAGTTGTTCCTTACGTTGACTTTCAATGAGACTTTAGCACAACTAACCCCCTGCCTGTCCCAACAACAGCTTGTAATTGCATTTTAATAGTCAATTAAAGTTGGCCCATCAATCAATTTCTGCTGTGGACATGGAGTTTTGATTTTATTTCTCCAAAAAACAAACAGCTTTTATCATGTCAGATCCAATTAACCCAAGTTGCTTTATTAAAATGGAAAGTTATTGCAGTCGCACATCGTCTCTTTAGCCATCAGAATGCATGATGAATGATCAGAGATATGATTTTTGTTTCAGTTTAGTGCTGTTTTCTAAGGGTTGTAGTGAGCGCTGTAAGGATGCGTGCTAAAATCTGATCCAGAAACAGCCAATAAACTGAGTTTATATCTAGTTTAGATTTTTTTTCACATCCCACAATCACTTCCTCCTGTGGGAACAGGCACAGATTGGACTCCATTGATAACTTATCAAGATAAAAAAAGTTTAAATGTCAGTTCTCTTTTATCTTCTGGCTTTCTTTCATATCTGACACTTTCCTAATGCAATGTGTGTGTCAAGCTTTCTCATCATGTACAATGGTCACACTGAGCAGCTGAAAAAGTGCCAAAACATTATTAGAAATTTGCAGCATTAGTACAGTTTTATGTTTAAACAATCACAAGCAAGAGAGAGGAGATGGTCTCTTATGAAATATGCTATAATTTGAATGGGTGGGAGACTAAACCGTAATTAAGTGGTGGTTGTTGCTAGTTATAGTTGGGGTTAATTTGTATGGCACCTCGTGCGTTTGTGATAGTCATCTCGGTTACTAATGAGTCTCTCTGTTAGGTGTCTGCTGTTGTTCTCTGATGAGAGGGAAACTATAGAACCACCTAAATCTGAAGGCGGAATAATTGCTATTTTTGTGCTGAACATAATTTAAATGCTATGTGACTCTATGTGTGAGTCAGACAGAGAGCTTGACTGTCTGTACCAGAGCCACAGATGGGCACTGTAAAGCCACAAGATGGGAGGTGACAGAATGCTGTAATATATTATTTGCTTATAATCACGCGTTTTTATATTGAAAGCTCACGCATGTTTGTGTGCGTGCGTGCATGTGTGTGTCTGCAGACGGAGGATGGAGAAGAGGAAAACCCGCTGGAGAGCGCGACGTCTTTGGAGCTGGAGTTTGTGGATGATCCCAATTTTAAAAACAAGGTCAACTACTCTTCCAGCGCGGTCCAGATCCCTACAGACATATACAAAGGCTGTAAGTACACAAAAATACTTTGTCTATTATTGTTCTGGTGGAAAGGTGATTGAATGAGCGGCACTGTATAAGCTTCATAAAATGTAACACATGTACTGAATTAACCACTACAGTTAAAAATGACACACCTGCTGCCGGGTTTCCTCAAGACCTTTGCTGCACTGACTATTGTGTAGCGCACACTTCATTTCCTTTATGTGGCCACAAGTGTGCATAATGTAATCCTTCTTCAAATAAAATTATTTAACACATACAAATCACTAACCACATTACAAGCATAAGTTTCTGGAGAATATACAGAGGCCTCAACCACATGCTTTTGCAAGTGTTTTTTCCACCTCATATCTTACAACACGCCTCAGAACCCATGAACCTGATGGTATGGTGGTAGTAGTAGTAGTACTAGTGTCCCCAGAGTACAATTGATTGAATATATTTATGTGTACACTCCAACTATACTAATACTTACCGCACTTTTTTAGATATATTTGTTGTATACCACGAGATGACACAAGATATAATCTCGGGAAATGTATTTTTTCCTTCATAACGTATGCTTGGTTCATCGAGGCATGTTTTGTATGCTGAATAATCTCATGTGGACTAAGACAAAAATCTGCGTTGTAAGAAAATGGTAATAAGATAATAAATATCATATATGGAGGTTTACCTGTCTCATAAATGTAAGAGATGTCTCGTCCTGGTTGTAATATTCACCGCTGGGCTGTAGATAGATGACAGTCTTGACTTGACCTTGCCCCTTTCCCTCACTATGTAAGCTGCATCTCTCCCTCCTTTTAAATCAGTCATCACTTTAACACACCGACATGATTTCAGATGACAGACGGTCTCTCACACCATATCTGCACTGTATTTTTTTTTCTGCATAGTCCACCCCCCCCGTGGACCCTGCCTTTCCTGCGTGGCACCGTAACACCCTCCTTAGTCTGTAGCTGCCAAATGGACAAAGGGAAACACATGTACCTTCTGGGACTCTGATTTCGCTTGGCATGTTCCCTCTGTTATCCACCTCTAACCTTTTGGACACTGACTGACTGCCTCTTTAAAGACTCAAAAAAAACAAGCATGTGCTGACAGACAGGCATTTTCACAGTGGCAATTTTTTCTTTCTGTTATTATCTAGCTCTTCGCCCTCTTTGTTGAACAGGCACTGTATGGCACCTGTCTGTGACAATGGCCTCCAGCTGTGTCTCCAGACAAATCTTGTCAGAATTAGACACTCGCGGTTCGGGACGAGATGTCAAAGGCTGCAGCTAACTCACAATAGAGCAATCAGGCCTGCACATTGTTCACAATGCCATTTTGTGCCAGCTCTGGTTCCCCTGTCTGAAGCTATGAGTCAGAGAATAAAGGCCTCTTGATTGAGCCTGGTGGAGTCTAGAAGAGTAGAGTGGTACAGTGCATGAAATTAGCTTTTTCACTTCTCTTCTGTGGGAAATGTTTACTGTTGATGTTGTTGAGTTAGGTCCCATTGTGTGGTCTGCTGTGCTGAGATTGCCAACTGCAGATTTTTTGCCAACTCCATTATGCACATGTGCGGTGTTTTAGTCATTGCTGATAAATTGTTTTTAAAAACTTGTTGCTGTCCAAAAATACAGTAATTTTTAAGGACACTTTTCCACCAAACGTCCGAGGCACAAATGAAGATATTAGAAACATTTTGAGACGTCGGATGTGAAATGCAGTGCAGACTAAGTTTAAGGGGAAATGATTTTACACATCAAAGTCTGTTTATAGGTCTTGAGGGGAACTGCTGCAAATACACTGCCTTTTGTTGTTCCAGAGGGAGCTGCAGGAAGTCTGGTAAATTCATCGGCAGGGACTGAGGAGTACAAGTTTGAAAATAAAAAAAATTCTGGTGGTGCGGAGTTAGAAATAAGCGAGCTGACCAGACCTCTGTAGCTCGCTCCTAATCACTGCTTGAAGCTAATTGTTTGACGCTACATTAGCCGCTACTGGCATACCACACATGAATCCCTGACCTACCTGAATAATCACGTTGCATTTCTGGTAATGTGGAGTTTAAGTTTTGACACGGAAGAAGATTGTGTTTATAAGAAAGACGATATTTCAGGTTCTGCTGCATCTACTTTGATCTTTTTTTTTTACTTTTCACTATGAGTTTGACTTATAGGAGTGCGAAGCTAAGGTAGAGTACTGTTTTATCGAACTTAGTTCACAGAAATGTACATGAAGTTCATGTCATGGGAGCTGCGTTTGCTTTAGCAGGATGGTAAAGGGAGATTATTATCCAATGCCATGTTCTGCCTTGGGCCCACCAGTGGGAGCCTGCAGGGTGCCTTGGAGAGAATGTCTGAGGAAACCAATGTGGGCGGATTGTTGTCCTCTGGGTCTGGAGAGGTCTGGATCTACAGTATATCTGTGGGTTTAGGATTAGCAGAAGAAGAAGCAGTGTGAGTGGGTAGATTCAGCGCTCGTTGCTCAGGGGGAGGCCAGAGGGAAGGCAGAGAAAAGAAAAGTGTAGGAAGACTGGAGCACGGTCCAAAGTACAGCATAATGTTCAACAGTTGTGATATTCTCAAGAGTTGTTTATTAGCACTTGCTTGCTTGTGTTGTTGGAGTAGCTTGTTTTGATTTGTACACATTAATGCACTGAATAAATTGACTGTTTTCCAGAAAATGGCAGCACGAATTGACAGTCGCAGCAAAATGGGTGTCCTTGGGGATGGACTGAGAGGAAGGAACAGATAGAAAGGACAGGGGTGAGAGGAGAGACACTTTAATAATAGAAACCATTTAAAGCAACAACAAAAAAATCTTTTTTTATTTTTTTATTGTGATCCTTTCAGCAGCTAAATGAGGCGGTGCATGCGTCCTGGTTTGATTTGTCTGCTAGGCCCCGTGTCCGTTTATTGAGATTGAGAGTGTTCCCTGAGCGCAGTAATGAACCATTTTATGATTCATTATCCCTCTGCTGATTCCTGCTGCCACGTCTGCAAACTTTCTAATTAGCTCAGGTCAAACATTCATACAGTTTTCCTCTAATTATCATTGCTTATTACAGAATGGACGTCGCGACACAGCCACAGAGGAATAAATTGATGTGGGTTGTGTCGTCTATGGAGAAATAGAAATATTCTACCAGGGAATGTTACAGAAATGGTGAGGAAGAGGCAGGGATTTGCTGAATAATTGCAGAGGAAGGGCTCCGGGAATGCAATCTGTAAAATAATCACTGAAAAATAAAGAGGAAAAGAAGCGAGGGAATATACAAAATTATTTTATTATTACTTTAGCGACCATTTTGTAGATTCAGTGGATTCTCCCTGGTAATTGGACCCAGTTCATGCGGTAGAGGATACTAATCCAGATTGGGTCAGTCCACCGTCCACAGTTGCATGTCCATTATAACATGCTGAAAATATGGAAGGTTGTATATCAGCCTTATTATTTTTTTTTTAAGCAGCAATTATGTGTGTATAGTGTACACATGGTGTGTGGCCACATTAGTGTTTGTGTGAGAATAAGAAGCCACAGTACCCAGCAGGGAGTCAAGAAAACCACCAGTGAATGTGGGAAGCCCTTTCATTGAATTTGAAGTTTAAATCCGCTGCATGCGGCGCCTTTCCTGGCGGCCTAACGTCATGTTGTCAGTTTGCTATTGTTGTCAGGCACAGTGAGAAACTTGGTTAACAAAAATGAATGGCAAGGACTGGCCAACTGTGTGTACAGATGAAAGAGCCGAGCTTAAATGTTTTGCATGGAGTGATTAACCCAACCCCACCCACACACACACACACAACACACGACAGCCATGATTACCACCCTTCAATGTACTTAATGGTCCGATTGCTCCTTTCTTAGTTTTAGGTCCATACTGGTGGGTTCACATGTTTGAGGTTACTAATGACAAAACTATGTCTACTTTTCTAAAGTATACCATCATTTTGTTAGCTTTGATTTTCTATCACTTATGCAGCTATTGTTTCCCACGACTCTTTCTTGTTGGTGAATTCATGGATGCTGCATGACTTCCAAGACATTGAACCTGCAATAATTTATATATCTCATATAACGATTTAGAAAGCAGAAGAAATCTGTTCAAACAACACTGACATATGATTTACCTTTTAATGGCGAACTTGTCAGCAAACAGTTGCTTATCTACACATCCAGGAGGTACACAAAATATTAGCATTCCATTGGAGTTGTGTTTTTGTTGTTCTAATAGATGTAAGTTCACTATCAAGTCTTCTTGTAGTTTTTGCTGTCCACGAACTCCTGAAGGAGATATCCGTCTCTTTATCTGCTACATGCTGCCCTGTGTTCTCCAGGTAGTTGCTACCTTTGTCTGTCTGCCATTTGCAGACTAAAATGCAATGCTTTAGAGAGTGATCAGCATTAATATGTAGGCTAGGCAATAGGCTAAAACATCAAATTATTTATTTATTTATGAGACACAATCAGTTCCTAAACCAGCAGCAAGCGTGTAGTCCATGCCCTTTGAATGTTAGCATCCATTTTGCTACTGCACTCTCTGGTCTTTGGTTGGATCCCCTCTGGGAAGCTCCTAGCACAAAAAAATCATCCAATTCACCTTTGTAAAGAGCAAATTGCATGGGGTCTATGTAATGTGCAGTAGGAAATTGAGTGCAACAGATACAGCAGATAGAGAGTCAACGCAGTGTCGTATACGATTTGAAAAGAAGAGAACAATTTGCATCTGCAGAGATTTTCGTGTGAGTGAAACTCCCTCTGATGTCTCTCATTTTGTATAAAATGTATCTGAAGAGAAGTCAGCTCACCTGGTACTGGAGGGACAAAGGGGACTTTTGAAAGAAAGACTGTTCACAAAAGAGAGGGAAAGTGAGGCTGAGCGTTATTCTTTGTCACTCAGTACAGAAATATATGCTGTGGCTCCAATTAGTGAATGTTCCCACTTTACTTGCCATAGATTTCTTTAATATCATGCTACATTTGTCATCTTAAGGGCATAAGCTGTGAGTCTTGAGATTTGC